CTTCGGGTACTGTACATGTTTACAGGCCTAAAAGCATTAGCAGACCTAAATCCAGTCGTTGAATGGAATGTGGTGACAAAATATCCCCATTCTTTGAGGCTGTCACACATCAGAACTCTACAAAAGATAGGTTTATTAACATTGACTTGGCCGTTCCTGTTTTTCTCATCATGTTCCCCATTTTTTGCAAAAGATAGGTTTATTAACATTGACTTGGCCATTTCTGTTTTTCTCATCATGTTCCCCATTTTTTGCAAAAGATAGGTTTCTTAACATTGACGTGGCCGTTCCTGTTTTTCTCATCATGTTCCCCAATTTTTACAAAAGATAGGTTTCTTAACATTGACTTGGCCGTTCCTGTTTTTCTCATCATGTTCCCCAATTTTTACAAAAGATAGGTTTATTAACATTGACGTGGCCGTTCCTGTTTTTCTCATCATGTTCCCCATTTTTTGCAAAAGATAGGTTTCTTAACATTGACATGGCCGTTTCTGTTTTTCTCATCATGTTCCCCAATTGTTGTGGTAAAGTCCATAATAAGGGTTATTTGCCTGCTTTGTGTGATTCATCTGTAGCCACTATGCAATGTGTGGGGGGAGTCTCCAGACAATCCTCTGTGATCTAAACCGCAGGAAGTAGTTGTCAAGCAGGCTCATGCATAAACCATCTGGAGTATGACAGGTTTGATTTTGACGTCATAATTTTGTCAGGTTGCAGGGACCGACATTGATCTGTTTTGACAAAATCTGACCTATTTCCTTGCCCTGCTGTGGTTTCAAGTACATGTGGATACTTTCTGTATACTGAAGAGGCATGATAACCGAATTTTTGTTTCAAAACAGATGACAATGATGCTTTTCAAGGGAATATACAACATTTGCTTTTGCTCTACCATAATTTCAGAAATGGATGGATTTGGGGGGTTAGTATTTTATAGCAAATATTGTTACACTGACTTGTTTTTGACGTTTTGGGTTCATGGATGCTGGAAAAACCAAAGGAAAACAATCATGTTCCTGTAGTCTGGTTCCCTGACCCTACTTAAGATGAAACGGAGCAATTTATAGACATTGGGGAATTGTTAGGTCAAGGAATCAGTCTAGCTGGCTTGTACCCGTTCACAGGCGTGTAATCGATTGCAAAGAAAATGCGAACCAACTAAATATGATAAATTTGGAGCAGTATTTGAAAAAAACCCAGTTTTTTCCAATGCTGGTCGGCCGCATTGGAAATTGATACAAAAACACCAGTTTTCTTGAAAATGTCAGCACACCAGGTGTCATGATTTTAGTTTAGACTGCCATTCACTAATAGTGCAGTAAGGTATTTCGTGATAATTTGGTAGTTTTGTTTTTTGGTGTTTGCAAATGTTGTACATTCCCTTTAAAGTTCATTTCAGCATCTACACACTTGTCCTTGAATATGTATACATTTATCTTCAAATGAAATTTGAGAAGCATACAGTCGATGTTGGTACATGTAAACCAACCCAACTTGTTGCTGCAACGGTATTTATTTTAATTTTGGCGTTCACACAATGGCACTGCTTGGGCAGCTGGCAATCAGACGTGCCAAAAAAAGGTTATCTTTGGGTACAGGGGCAAAACACTGACTGCTTGCGCAGGAATGTGAGATGCAGGGGCAATCAATATTTTGCACGGGGCGCGGCGTGTTTGCGCGCCGAACGTGATCGGAATAGAATCGGTGCTGGCGAGTAGTGTTATTGAGGAAAGAATTGAAAGTGCTTAGATTGTTACATATAGCACAAGGGTCACCCGACACCTTTTTTTTTGTTCATGAGAAGTGTCAATATTAGAAATCCATGAATTACTTTAGTATGTAAATTTTGTTGCCACTAAATAATCGTAATCCTAAATAATCCTAATTCGGCAAACTATTTCCTTTTTAGTCTACAATTTACACTATATCTTACAATTTCATGTAAATGTAATAAAAAAGGGTTACTTTAATGTGTAAGCTACTAAATAAATGCATGCCTCATAAACAAAAAGCAGTATTGCAGGTATTTGGTACCCATATACTATCCAGTGGTCATTATGGAAACTACCAATCATTTCTCAGCCACTTTGTTTCCCCTGTGCGTAGTGCTTGGTTTTTTTTTTCCCTTCAAAGTATGAAATTCCTAAACCCCGATAAAATAAGGGATGCGATAAAATAGGCCATTATCCCTGTATGCCCTGTGCAGCAGGCATTCAGTGCACAGCAGGTTGTTGACCAGTAAAGCCCCCATAGAGAGATTCTGGGTACTACTCCTACGTTCCTCTTCCATCCCCCAATCTATCCCTTAACCTGACCCTACCCTGGTGTCCACCGTGGAACCTCATGTGGGCTGATTTCCACTAAAGTGCTAACCAGAAAGTGTATTTTCTTGCTTAGATGGGAATCAGTTAAAAGCATTGTACATGTACATCCTATGCCTTTTTTCACTGGTAACCTCATTTCTTTGCTGGCACGATTCCCAATCAAGCATCCCTTGAGCCAGATTCCCTCAAGTAGAAAATGCACTTTGCTTAACACTTTTTACAGTCTAAGCAAAAAAATAGGCCAGGTACCATTTTCAGTTTTACATGATTTTACATCACATGGCATTTTCTTGGTTACCTGTGTCCATCAAGAAAATCTTTTCTGGGCTGAGCAAAACTGAATACTGCTCACATCACACATATCCAACATTTTTAGACTCGAATACTTCATCCAAAGGGTCTCTCCAATTTCTTCCTCAGTTAAATGGGGAGAATTTAGAACACACCTGTTGATCGGTTGATTGATGGAATCTTTTGCCCTGAGCATCAAATAGTTGGTTGGGGATCCCAGCTAGTACAAGGCCAAGGCTGGGTTTGCTGACCCTTGCCTGGCACCCATTGCACAACACCAGGACTCAATTTTGTAAACTTGTCTGGTGACAAATTTGGTTTAAAAAAAAAATTGAGATCCTGTAATTTTTTTTCAATGCAATTCTGGGCTAAGAAGACGTTGAAGTGGAATTAGGGAATGGGAGCATGAAACCAAGTTAGGGAACGGAAGCACCTGAAACCAAAATGGCAGGTCAATTATGCAAGAAAAATGAATATTTTGTTTTTCCAATTTCTTTCACCGCTCAAGTTACTGTGGTGAATAGAAATAATTTCCTGCTCATTTCACGCTTGAGGGATCTGTGAATTGTTCACACTACATTTTGTCGTTTATTTTGCCGGAAACACATTGTGATCCCTTATTTGTTTCTGATTCAAAATGGCTAGCCACATCACGCGACGTCAGAGTTATTATTTTTGCAAACATGTACATTTACATGTCTCTTGAGGAGAAGGAAGTGGTTGGGTTTTATTTGTGAACTGACATGAAGTGTCAGCAATTGTTACTTTGTGTGGGTTGATGCCTCAAGATGGGAATGTAAAATATAGTCCTTCCTGCCTGGGAAGTCTGTTTGTTATTGTTATGATTCGATGACAAATCACAATATTCATCACGTGGTATGACATCAGAGGATCTCAACTCTGGCCATGTGTCATGGGGGTTATTTGGTCATTACAGGAGACAAGATGTTCAGTATTTGATGTGAATATTGCAACAGTTTTGCTGTTGGTGTTGGGTTATACACTTGTACTCAGCTCTATTAGTGCCTTTAGTTTTCTGCGTAGTTGTGGGACTCAAAAATGCCCAGAAAACACTCAAGAGATCCCAGCCTACATAAAGCAGGACTGACTGGCTGTGACTGTTTATGTAACTTGATACAGCTATGCTTTGACTGTACGTGATTGATAAGCCAGCTGTGTCTACCACTTGTCTGCTTTTTTTCTGTTGACTGAATTTGGCTAGTCACAGTGTTTGCTTGAAATATGATCTGACTGTTGGTGACTAGCCTGTGTAAAAGGCATGGCAAGGAAGAGGATGGATTTTTTGACTGTTTGTGACTGTTCAGATAGAAGGAGGGTTAATGCATATTTTCAACTGTAATGTCCCACTTTGAAAGACTTAAAATTTTTTGGCAATTTGCCATCAGAGTCAGCTTGTGACATTTTCCCACAAGATTGTTGAATAAACACGACTCTGCGACGGTCTCAATCATGTTGTCATGCATCGTGTCTTTTATTTATTGACGGCTATTGTTAAGAATGTGACACATTTCCTGTTGTGTTCGTGGTTTCACTTCCCTGTTTTCGTTTATTTTGTTTGTTTGTTTGTTTGTTTGTTTATTGGGCTGCACTTGCACTGATCCTGTCTCAAGGACACTCAGACAACAGTTGCAGAGATTTTGAAAAGAAAAAGTTCAAAATAAGGTAACCGTGGCTGATTGAAAGTTCAAAATATTTTGACCTGCATACATGTATATCTACTCAGCAATATCACACTAAGCTTCAGTAGAGTAATAAACCTAAAACTTGCTTGTTGGATATTAACTTGGCTATCCATAAATTTGTTGAATTGGCCATTATAATGCCATCGTATGAATTGAGGATTTGTACACTCTTCATTCTTTGCATACTTTCTTTCTTACATGTACTTCCTGGTTTTGGGGCTTGAGAGATTTGTTGTGGTTTTGTTGGCATTTGTCCCATATATATCTAGGCTAAGGATGTGAATTACATTAAGTACAATTGAACCTTGGTGCGAGCATCCATAATGTACTGTGTTACCGTTACAGGACAAGTGTGAGTTGTTTGAACCTCTATTCACTCTTTGTTGTCCTTTCATTTTTGATATGTGGATGAAAACTTTCTGCAATGTGTTTGAGTGTATTGATTCAGCCGAGTCCCGTAGGCATGGCAGCAGGTTTTATTGTTTTGTGGGATGCATGATCCTTTGCCAATCACAACAGTCATGTTCGGTTTCGCTTTCGATATTTTAATGATGATTCTTAATTAGAATGGAAGGACAGAAGGCCATCGGTTTGGCTAAAGATTAAACTGGTTGGATGAATATTTTGTTCAACAGGTGGACTAATTCAATATTTAACCAAAATTGTCTGAATTTTATTTCAGGAATGAGTTCTCAACCCATGCTGCAGTAAGCCTTCCACAGTCGCAACCAGGCCACGCCTCTCCCTCTGCCTCACCTCGCACATCCAGCCCTGACTCGCCGGTATCGGCTGAGGCAAGGCTGCAAGCATTCACTGAACCTCCCATCGACCCAGAGGTCAGGCCGAGGTCGGAGACACCCAAGAGTGAGGTCACACTGTCCCCGATCATCGACTCGCGTGCTGAGGAAACGGCACCTGATAGCAGCGTCGACGTCCCTGATAGCAGAGTAGACAGGAGTGGAACGCCATCGCCACAATCACGATTCAGCCCCGTCAACCGGCGGCCCGCACTTGACCTGGGCCTGGACGATGAAGCCAAGCCCATCGAGGTTATTGAGATCGTCCACACCCCAACCCTCTCGCCAAAGCGCGGCCAGCGTGACCCGCCAGGGGATGCCCAGGAACACTCCGAGGATCCACTAGTTGACTGGGTCCTGAACTCGGTCAACCCCCAGGACTCTGCTCTCAGAGAGTTGTACAAGTTCCCCGAAGAGCCCCTCATGCTGGGCTCACTGGCTGACAGGAGGATGCCACAGGAGAAGAAGGAAGAGGCACAGACGCCTAAGAGGTACAAGTCAAAACCCAAACCTGAATATGCTAAAGTCAGAAAATTTGTAAAACGATTATATGGAATCTTAAAATGTTACCCAACACTGACAAAACTCTCTACTTGTCTTGTCTTCAGATCTGAGTGCGATGTCAAGTCGCTGACTCACGCCCTGTCCAGCTCCATGTATCTCCAGATATCGCCAGCCAAGGCCTTGCTACTGACACGAGCCAAGAGCATCAGTAGTAGCGACCTGCTCCGGGGAGACAGCAAAGAGCTTCAGAAAACTAAGGTAAGCGTTGTTGTCACTAGAAGAGCAACTTGATTCCAGAAAAAGATGAGGGCAAGGATACTTAAATCAACTTCTTAGACTTTACAATCATTGAAAAGAGGTTCCCAAAAGTATACGACTCTGTTGGTGTCGGTTTATTGTACATCTGCACTGAAATGTTTTGCTAACATCAATTTCAGGAACTTTCTGAATTTGGTTGGTTTTATGACGGAAGAAACAGAATCCTGGCAACAGCCTGTCTTTGTTTGTGTGTCAGGAAGCTGACTGCAGTCAAGGTGTATAGCTGGCCTTGTACTAGAACTTTACTGTCATCCGTTATCCTGGTAGAAAGTTAAGGCAGAAAGTTTGACACAGAAAGAACAGTGACCTGAAATGTGCCTTTTCCTACAAGGCTGTTGAAAAAAAAACGAAAGTAAAACAGGCGACCTTTGACCCCTTTGCCCGTGTTGTGATTACGTGTTTTCAACTTTCCAGTGACGGTATCAGACATCCTTCTTCCTGTTGTTGACTAATCAGCGAGACCCAGTCTTGACAATGGTGCCACTCGCTTTGTTAGTGTCACGGTCATTGGGAGTCGACTGTGCGTGTCAGACTGTCAACCACAGTCCTTCCGGTTTGTCGGTTTTGCCTGAGAATAAATAGTCCAGATTGTCCAAAACTGGTCAGCATACTTTATTGGACTGTCACTGCGGATACACTGTTGAGTAGGCATAGTTTGAGCTGGTGTTTAGCCGCTGTGTGTGAGAAAAGGATTAGTCACAATGATTCAAACTCTTAAGGTAGCGTTCATGATGAGTCAAATTGTTTGTGTTTTTGCCGTTGTTTTCAGCTTTATTTAAGACAGAAATCACTTAACATTTGGACAAACCTGACCAACAACTGATGAAAAGCTGAGTCCAAATCAGGATTCTTTTTGTTCCGCATCAGTGCCCAAAAGTGATCCTGAAATACAGTTTGGTCAACACTTGTACTCACAGTTTTTGTGAACCCTTTGCTCCAGTCTAGCGATACCAGATTTATTTAGACACACTGTTGAGTTGCAGTCTATAGATTTTGGATGTTAATTTGTTGGGTTTTTTTTCAGGAGGAGCTTATCAGCCGATTGGCCCAGAAAGTCTCGATCTGAGAAAGGAGAAAGAAGAACTCCTGAAGGAGATCAGCATCATCGAAGACCTTGGCAGGTAAGTGCAGATGGCGGGTTGAATTTTAGAAGCAATTGGTAGCATGATTGTGTTGTCAAGCGGTGGTGTCTGTGTCCTCAAGCAAGTTACTTTACTCTCTGCTGGCACTGAAGTACAGAAATAAAAATCAATTGGTTTTAAGAATGTGACGTTAACACGTTTCAACGTTGAAACTAAAACATTCTAGATCCGTTTACATATTTTCCACAAGCGTTTAAACGTAATGAGCATGCGTCAGCCTTTGTGAATTGATAAACTTTTAGAGGTTTAAACGGTTCTTAAAATATTTGCTACACATTAACAAAATTAAATGCAAAGTCACATCCTCAATGGTTTTAATATGAGCAAGAGGCAATGGATGTAGTGCATTCATTACAGATATTGGTGACAGTGTTGTAACTATGACTCTCTGTCTCTGATCTCTCCAGGCAAGTCACAGAGAATGTGAGGAAATCCTGCAAGCCCAGCTCCTTGGACAAGTACCTGATGTACGTGGGCGACGCGGACCGGGTCACTAAGCTGCTTCTCTCGCTGTCCCGCCGTCTGGCCAAGGTGAACAGCGTGTTGAACAGCCTGGAAGGCATTGACGAGGAAGAACAAAAGGTGAGAAGAATGAATCGTCTCTCAAAATGAAAGTAGGGTACCCAAGTCTTGGGACTGGTGATGTAAATGGAATGAGTGAACTTTTTTACTACAAAGAGATACTGAATAAGAAGGCACATTTTTAGGGTAATGGTCTTTAACCCTAATCCCAAAGAGTTCATTTGGGGTAAAGTATCACATACTTCAAAGTACTACAAAAATTATGTATGCTGGTACCAAATACTAGAAAATACTATGAGTGCCATGCATGAAGTGCCACTTACATGCTGAAGTACTGCATACTGCAGTTTACTACTAGTAGTATTTTGTAGCTTTAGGTGAGGTTAGGGTTAATGCCAGTTATCCACTTTGTTTTGAACCGTTACTTCTCCATCTTTTAGTTGAAGTTAAATTATGTTACAACTCTTTGCATGTATATTCTATTTCTTGTAGCCCGATCTTCAGAAGATGCACAAAGATTTGACCAGCAAGTACGCGGACGCCGAGGGGCTGAAGAAGAGCATCGACGCCCGGCACGTCCAGATCAGCAGCATGCTGCAGGACCACCTCAGTGCCGAGGAGTACGAGGACTTCTGCTACTTTATGCTCCATCGACCCAAGCTCCGCATCATGGCCCAGGAGCTGGACGACCGGATATCATTGGGCGATGAGCAGCTGCAGGCGCTCAAGGACAGTCTGAAGGGGGAGGCTTGCCAGGCCGAGGGCTCGCTGTGTGGTGCTGCCCAGGCTAGCTGATCACACTGATGGTGGTTTCGGCGGTTACGCTTGCCCGGTTGGGATCGGCTGCCCTTGTGACTTGCTAGAGAAACTGATTGTGCATCTGAGATGATTCTGCGAAAACCTGACACTTTGAGTTACATTTGCAAGACTACTGTGACAGGCGGCACTTTGCTGTTGAAATATACCTTGGTCTGAATGTCACGATACGAGGCAGACAGAAATGCACATGCGGAGTCACTGTGTGGTGTGGAATGGTTATCAGTGGGTCTGCCGTTTGCGGACTGGCCTCTCGAATGATGAGATTCTGTCGTGGCAAAACAAACGCTAGCAAAGCATCAACTGAGCCGCCTGGATGCATACTTTTTTTGGCATTGTAGATATTCCATTGCGGGCGTCAGACAAAATATTGCTGTGAACATTTATCATTCCAAAAATGTGCGGTGCTCGGAGGCAGTACTGAACAAATATTACAATGCTGCTCTTTGTTACTTAATGTGATTGACCGTAATTAAGTAAAGCGCCCTCTGGTGGCACTTGACTGCAAGGCGAACACCTAAACTACTTTCTGCTTGACAATTAGCGTGAGTGGCATATGTAGCTTTTACAGTAAAACTTTATAAATGTTGATATAAAAAAAACAAAGTTGATAAGGTGTGATTAAAAAAAAATGGGTAAAATTCCCCCATTGCTCTAGAGGCGCTTTAGATGATGATTGTATTTTGTAAGTGTGTGCAAAGTGTGTCAAAGCCTTGCCAATTTTTTTTTTCTCAAACTTTTGCACAAAAAAAAAAATCGCTTTTTTTAGGTTCTACTTATCTGGTGCCTGAAGACCGTCGTGTTTCTCTTAACGTCGTGTTTCTCTGTTGCTTAACTGCTCTCATGCTGTTCCGGGCATTGTGTGATTTTGGGTGGCTTTTTTTTTTTTTTTTTTTTTTTTCACTCTGTGTTGCATGTTGCTAAGAAGCAATTTTGTACAAGTTTGTCTGTTCAGCTCTTGTGCCAAGCACTGCACTTCTAATGCAACATCAGAAAGTACCACGGATAGATACCTAATTTGTAGATTATCACTAGTTTTGTTGATGCTTCTTACCGCTGTCATATTTCATTCTAAATCACTGTAAATTTCGATGTTGCAAACGTTCATCAAGAATCATATTTATGTGAAATACTAGCAGACCGCATTGGATATGCGGTTAATTTGATTTTGTGTTGTTGCCTGAAACGCTTGTAGATAAAATTTCACTTTTTTGGACTGTATATTATTGATGAAGGTATCGCTCGCCTTTCGGTATGTATATTAGCATGTATATCTGCGTTAACGTGTTCCGTGCGTCGTCCGTAATCATATCCCTTTGGCCATTTTACAGGAATTTTGTGAACAGGGTGTGTCTGTGTGTGTGTGCATTATGTGATAATCATTCCTCGCTTCGTGTATATGGGCATGCATATCCTCTTTTCTGTTAGCTTAACTTTAAGGTTGCTAAGACAAATTTGCTGGCACCAAAAAAAAACCCACATACCAGCCAAAACGGTCTCGGCTGACATGCATTTGTTAAGCAATTTTGATTTCTCCTGGGTTAATTTTTTTACAGAGTCAGTAGGGATGGAAATCTGCTTATACACAATATAACTGTTTTACTAAATCATTAATAAACTCATAAAACAAATTTTGGCTTGGTAATCCATTCAAGTTACATAGTAAGTAAAAGCTTTTTGTGCTTGGGGAATTTGAGATAAGCAGGTTTTAAATTTTTTTTTCCCTCAGCACCACTGTCGCAGTCACCATTATCTGCTTACAGGTTCAAGGAGGCTTAGCATGAATAATGTGCTAAGTTGTAAAATACATTTCTATGATGTTAATACAAAAGTTTCAAATCATTGCTTTCATGAATGTTTTTCAAAAGCATGTTCACCATACTAAAAAAAGGAATGGTACATTTTAAGAGAGTTAAATGTTCCCTAAATCCCTGAATGATTGTTAGTATACAAGATTCTGCACGTTTACTTTAAGGAAATTTTGTATTTATTCCTATAATAGGCTATGCACCAAAATTCCTTCTTCTTTTTTAAGAGGCTGACCCAACACATTTGCTTTCTCACTCTTTTTAAACTAAAATTCGTAAAAAAAAAATTAAATTGAAACTTTTTTACACTAGAGGTTTGCAAATAAGAATCGTAAATGTATTTTAATGAGTAATTTATTCTCAACATTAAGTATAGAAATCACAACCAAAGATTACTTATCTTGCAATTGCTAAAACTTTTAATGTTTTTTTTTTATATAAGACCTAAACTTTGAAGGAAAAAAAAAGATCAATGACATAATGATGCTTTGGATTAAAATCACATATGGATGTATATAACTAGTGTTTATATTTAAAATATAAGTGATTTTTTTTCGGTTTGAATCAGTAGAACAGACAAACTTGGGGAGTTTTTTCCCTGCATTTTTAAAACAATTCAAATATAGGTGCTCTTGCCACATAAAACGGCCGTAGTACGAGATAAATGTGACATCCTTGTCAATACAGTGTTGACTGTGAATATACGTTACTTTTTGTTCGACGTTACTTTTTGTTTTACAATTATTTTAAGCAGTACTGTATCTTTCCGATTGGAACTGAAAACCTGATCTGTGATAATATGTGAAAATCGGGAACAAATGTGGGAAGATACCTTTCAGTGGGGACAAAAAGGGAAAATTGAAAGGTTTTTGAAAGCTGTTCACTGGTACTCATGTTGGTACTCATGTTCACTGGTACCTTGTTTACCCAACATGTACCAGTTTCATGTATTGGAATGAACTTTTAAGTGCCAAATATCTATTTCATTTTTCTTAAGATTCTAAACTTGCAATCCAATTTCCATCTAATTAATGACGATTTTAAGATTGAGGTTACTTTACACCAACGGGTTTGCCTCTGGCTTTTGTTTAATCCAGGCTCTGGGTTTACGATATTTAATCATCCCCCGAATTTGAAGACTCTGGATCAATCTGTGTATATGTCAATATTTCTGCATTTGAAATGTCAAATCCAATAGTTTTAGGCCGTGAAATGTTATCAAAGTAACATTTGGCTTGATTTATTAAAATTTTCTAAATGATTCTGGAGCCAGATAATAGCAGAGCCAGAGACAAAACCGTGGCTTGTTAAAGAGTCTTTTCATTAAAAAAAAGTTTCTTTAATCACGTTGACAACATAAAATGGCTTTACGTGTACATGCAACTACTTTTGTTCTCTAGATTGGCGATTAATTGATCTTTTTTCCCCCTAAGTTATTAGTTTCAAGTTGAATGCCACCATGAACAATGTAACTTTCTTGATATGGTGCAATAGACAAAAAAAATGTTAAATTTTTTTTTTGAGGGATTGAAAGATATATGAGTAAACTGCACACACTTGACTAGTAGTTGTCATTAGAAAATAGATATAAAACAGTTATACAACACAATCAGTGTATGGTATTGAGGCTGTGTGTCGAGTCTGGATGCCGTAAACTTCGTCAGATACCCTTTGCTTTTTGAGATAAAACCTAGGATTTTCTTCTTTTCATTGACGTGGATTTTTTAACGCAAAAGTCTCAATGTTTTAAAAGATTGTAATTTCATAGCTGGCTTTATATTTATTAAAGCTTGCTGACACTGATGTAGCTCAGTTTTAGTATTTAAGATAATTAGAAAATGTGAGAGCTATCCAAAATTCAGAAAGCTTTTTGTAAGGAAAAAGGGGGTAAGTTTAAACTTAGGGAAAGACTTTGAAATAATATCACTGTACTGAATTTTCCGGTACAAGTACTGTAAATATCATTTCCCAAAATTGTATATTTTTGTGAATAGGAAAACAAAGCAAAACGAAAAAAACACTTATGAAGTGTCATAATAACAATTTTTTAATTATTAAATACATGAAGTAGTTTTGAAGAGGAAAAACGTAAATCACAGAAATGGTAACTTTGATAGATTTGGGGCAGTTTTTGAGGGAAACTTTGCTGTTTATTGCTACCTGTTATTACATAAATAGCGTGTAGTATATATAACAAAACACTTTGGAATTTGTTTTTGTTGAAGCGTTGTGCTTTTATTATGGGATAGATCCAGTGTTGGGCTGAGCCGGGCACCAGTTAAAAAGGCAGCCGGTTCTGGACGCAGTGCTTATTACCCTTTGTGCAGTTTTACGCCTAGTAATGATTTTTGAGTTTACAAATAAAGAACTAAAAGAGCTAGGTTGATATATACGAACCAAGTTTGTTTTTTTGTTGTTTTCTGTTGGAGTGTTTGTCTGGCAGTAAATTAATTATTCAAATCACAACTCCTGTAGGGAGGTTTTAAACCTCATATCTAAGATGGCACGTCTGTCAGGCCATGCATTTTTCTATGAGGTCTGTCCACTTGTTGCAAGTTTGCCAAAACTGATATACTGTTCACAATTTGAGACATTGGGGTTTAACACCCCCAACGATTTGAAACAAAAGGCCCCCCCCCCCCCCCCCCCCCCCCCCCCCCCCCAGTTTCCCTTTGCACAGTCTGGACCTATGACCTAACACATCCCCCAGCAACAACAAATCCTGAGCTTTTGGGAACACAATGTCCAACACCCAGTCTCGAAATCAGGATTTTTTATTTATCGTTTTATTTTACCAGGGTAGGTAGGCTTTGTTTGCTGTTGCAATATAGAATTTTCGTCCTGTTAATTTTCACCAACCCAATTTTGCAATAAGTTTATGAAATATTCAACAGAGGGCGCCATCATAGCACTACTCAGATCGTAAATGGGAGGACCGCAAACCAGTCTATTTTTTTTCATGGCGCCGCACTAGCAATTAGTGGAGAAGTGAAATAAACTGCTATAGGAAAATGTGCGTGTCAGGTTCTCGAACTAACAAACGCCGAAATTTTGTCGGTCGCCATTTTGTTACAAATTAGCGGCAGATTTGAATGAATTTCCCAACGCGTTTTTCAATTGTATGGACATATTCTCCAAGTGTAAACATTTTTTACATAATTCATAAAAGGTGAGTACAGTTTGATACGAAAAAATACGCATTTTCTATCTATGGTGGGTCGAGTAATTATGTTTTTTGGTGTGCTGTGTAACTCAAGTTTTAACTTTGGGCCAGCAAAAAAAAATGCTAGAGGGCGCTGTTTACGGGAATGTTTTTCTCGTTTGACCAAATACAGTCTTGAGTTTCTTACTTGAAATATAGGCGATTGTGAGGGCCCTAGCCCCATAAATGTGGCCTATTTACTGGACTGCCTCCGTAAACATAGGCCACACATCCACATGTACAAAAATCGTGTCGACGGAGCCAAATTTTGATTTTCACATTTAGGCTTAGTTTGTAGGGTTTTTTTGCTTTAGAAGCATACTCACCCTCTTTACAGGCTAATCAGAAAGTGCTGCCTTTTTCAGATGTATATTTTTCGTGAAATTTCCAGATTCATTTTTACACGTTTGCGTATCAAAATTTCAACATGAAATTTCACAAAAATTAGACATCTGAAAAAGGCAGCACTTTCTGATTAGCCTGTAAAGAGGGTGAGTATGCTTCTAAAGCAAAAAAACCCTACAAACTAAGCCTAAATGTGAAAATCAAAATTTGGCTCCGTCGACACGATTTTTGTACATGTGGATGTGTGGCCTATGTTTACGGAGGCAGTCCAGTAAATAGGCCACATTTATGGGGCTATGAGGGCCCCTGTTTTGTTTCCCAGTTTTGTTTCGATCAAACTATAAAAAGTATAAATTAAAATCAAGATTTGTTTTATTAGGCCTACTAAAAACTGTTTTGTTTCGATCAAATAAGAATCCAATTTTTTTTTTACATTTTATTACTAAAAATTGTCATTGTCAACCTAACGCATACTTCACTCAATGTAATGACACATACTTTATTGTACTTTTTGAACAGTTTCTTGAGGTAGAAATTAGTACGATTTTCCTATGCAGTTTATGGGTGGGTTGGTGCCGTGCAACGCGACATGTGCATTCACAATACATCATGTACATCGCGCAAGGATCGCCATCTTTATTTTCGTGTTGTGTTTTGTCGTCATTGTAATTTTACCCCCAAACTGCCCTTGAATTTTCAAAACCCTGCCCTTTATCTCTGTATGTCGTCAACTAGTTTGGTAGGTTAAATAATTGAAAAGTGGATTTTGTTCCCTTATACTAGGAACCTGCTGAACGTCTTGCAGGTCTGTCAAACTCGTCGCCTAGCTGCTTCAATGTGATGCTATACAAAACTGCACGCATCTTCACATCAGCACAAAGAATGGCTTGCTTTGAAAGTCCATAGGTATGTAACCACATGAATCATACTGCGGATCGTGTCTAGAGTTGTTATCCTTGTGGTCTCGTTTGAAAATAATGTTAGCTTTGTGTTTTGCATCAGTTTGGTAATATCTGCTCAAGGAATGTGGCTGTTAGAATTATAGTTGATGCATGTTGGCCATATGGTTCTGAAAGTTGCTTGCAAATGCACAACTTAAATGCCCTCAATTTTGGCTGCACAGAAAACCATGGCTATGTTTTGGCTCTGACTTTGTGTGCTATTAAGCTCAATCTTTCAAGTTTATCTAACAACAAAAAAACAAAAACAAAATTCAAATAATTTTGTAGGAAGAGTATGCATTAAAAAGTCTACAGACTATGTACATTGTAGTGACGAGACGTGAAAAAATATTTTAAAAGTTGATACATCTGAATAAAATGTATGTTTGGAAACTTCTTTGTTGGATTATAGATGACCATGAAGACCATCTTGAACGTACACATGGATGGTAGACGTATCCAGCCTGGTCTAACCTTCCACAACTGTCATTGGTTATCATGCCAAGCACAGGAACTACACAGGCATGGTGAGTACTTACAATTCTAACATTATTAGCGCTGGGGGTCAGTTTACTTCTGTTAAACCACTGTGAACACTGTATATAAAAAAAGGGGGAAAAAATAGGTAATTGAAGAAACAAATTGTTAAACGAATGGGACTGTTTATCTTGTAGATCTCAGTAGATTTATGGATTGTATTTACGAGCAGTAGATATTGCTGTGTATTACAAGTGATTCTAAGGTCGAAACCTTTATTCATCTATTCAACTGATTAAAAGTTTTTCGTTTTGAAAGTTTGTCAACTTTGAAATCTTTTCAGTCATACATCCAAATTTTTTTTAGTCATACGTACATGTACACAGGCTTCATGCAATGTCTGTGAAAATGTGGAAACTACCGGAAACTGATTGGCTGTGTTTGTTCAAAGATTCCCTCGCTAGATGAAAATTGAGAAACAGACTTTTCAAATTTGGTCTTTCAAAATTGATGTTGTTTTGGACTAAATAAACTGTTTTCAATATTAGCTTCCAATGCCTTTTTGATTGAATCCATAAAGGTGTGGTGTAGTATCCTGGCAGTGTTGTAAACATCCTCTTTCAATTTGTTTTTATGTACAGATTTTTCTTCGACCCAGCACCACCCTGGCGGCTCAGATGGGTGTGATGCTCAACGCAGCATGATTGATTGCCCAAAAAAACTTACAAGATGACATCAACAAACACCTCAAGTCGGCAGAAGTTTGTCTTTCTCAAACTGCTGGATGTCGCTTCAGTAAGCCGTCTGTCGAATTGCAAGCAATCAACATTTGACCGGATGAGCTGCCAAGTTTCAGTCGATTCCACTGATTCCTGAAAGCCAACATGAAACAGTCTGAGATGATCTGGAGATCTCTCTTGCCTGGATGTTGTGAGATGCCATTCAGCAACACAAATATCTCTTCAAAGATACTCCCCTGTACATCTCCATTGGATTTGCATATTGACTACATGGACTTCACGAGCTACGACACGACCAGCAGGACTTGCACAAGACCAAATTGACTTCCTCCAACATAATTTCCTGGAGTACTTCCACTCTCAATATCAGTGTGCCATGAGAATTGAATTTTCATTTTGCTCGACGCACAAAATTCCTCAGAAACGTCTTGAAAAGCTGTGTTTTACTCCAATCTGAGAAGGACTGACTTATGATACTACACTCGGGATCCTGTGTACCTTCACCAGTCTCAACAAATGTTCAGAGAACTGCCGAGAAATGATTGAGAGATACCTGTTGTGCACCAGAGGACGTGAGGTCACCATTGAACCAATCATGGGAGATGTACATCAGCTTTGAACTGACTGCCTGAGGAGTTCCATCAAGAGCTGTCTTCTGCCAGCTGCAAAAACACTGGATGATTCACATTGACTGTTGCAATCTGGCAGAGACTTTTGAAACCTCTATTAAAACGAACTCTTTTGGAATGGAACTCTTTTGCAACGGAACTCTTTAGAAATGGAACTCTTTAGAAACGGAACTCTGTTGAAACGGAACTCTTATGAAACAGAAAACTTTTTGAAATGGAACTTGTTTGAAATGGATCTCTTGTGAAAAGCAACTCTTCTGAAATGGAACTCTATTGCAACGGAACTCTTTTGAAATGGACCTTTGTTGAAACGCAACTCTTATGAAACAGAACTTTTTTGAAACGGAACTCTATTGAACGGAACTCTTTTGAAATGGAACTCTTGTGAAACGGAACTCTTGTGAAACGGAACTCTTTTAAAATCGAACTCTTTTGAAATGGAACTCTTGTGAAACAGAACTCTTTTGAAACGGAACTCTGTTGAAACAGAACTCTTATGGGACATAACTTTTCGGAAACGAAACTCTTTTGAAACGGAACTCTTTTGAAACGGAACTCTTTTGAAAGGACGTCTTATATTTTAGTAGAGGTCTCTCTCTCTCTCCTTAAGGTCACTGAAGATCTTGAGACCCTTTATGCAAAATGGGTTGCCTAGGGTGACCACATTGTGAAAAAAATAATGTCTAGAAACATCAAGGCCTCTTGCAAAAAATGCAAAATGTCCTTTAACAGTATACGCTTGAGATATGATCCTCTTAAATTCTTTTTGCAAAGACAATTGTCAGCCAAAAGCCTTCAAAACGTAATACTGTTTGGTGATCTACAATTGATGGCACCATAGCTAAGAACTCATCAAACCACAATTCATGTAGTTAAAAACATGGGGACATGGTCCTCTAAAATTCTTTCTGCAAAGGAACTTGTTGGCTGAAAACCTTCAAAACGTAATATTGTTTGGTGGATCCACAATTGATGGCATTCATAGCCGAGATCAGATCAAACCACAATTCATAAAAATGGAGGAGAGGCCTCTACAAATGACACGTAACCAGCCTCTCACAGCAATCATTTGTTCAGGCGCAGTTCATAAAAGTGATTAGGCAATGGTTTCATTAACCAAATTCAGTTCTATTCATTAGCTAAAACAGTCACTTATTGCAAAAAACAAAAAAATAGACAGTTTAAGCGCTGCATTTCAATTTCCTAATGATGCACTCTTTTTTGGTGCATTTTTTAAAGAATCAATCAATCAATTTCTTGGACAAGATTTGCTAAAACCAAGGACTGCTCAAAATGCAGAAATCTTCTCACAGAGAAATGTTTATGAGGCAATGTTTATAACAGAGAGAGCTGGTTACGTTTAATTGATATTTTAATCTAAATTATTTCTTCATGGCATTGCCTGATTGGTAATAGCTGGGTGCAAGATTGGTTTCTCTTGAACAAAATTCTTTAACAACAAAGTATCTTTGCGCGCAATTTGAACCCACTTCTTTGAACCAAACTTTCCAAATTTACCATATTGAACCCAAAATCTCTCATCTAGACTCACATTTTGGTTCAAATTTAAATCAAAAACTATTTCTTTAGATTCCAACAAACCTAAATAGCTTTGCATTAAAACTACCAACTGGAAATACTCTGTCAAAAATCCAATGTGGCTAAAAAGTACAACAAATTAACGTTTTGTTTTTATATCTTCAAATTTGTCTCCAGAAATGAGTTTTCAAAATCCTTGATGCATTTTCCAGTACATCATAACTTAGCTACCTACTATCAGCAGCCATGCCAATCTTGTACCCAGCTTTTGTTTATCAAGTATAGTCAGCACTGGTCCAATGTATTAAGACAAAGTTTGGCAGTGAATGAAAAATATTGGCGTTAATCACACATTTACTAAAAAGTTGCAAACTGCGCATTTCAAAGCGAAAACACTCACAAAAATAACTGCATTTTACAAACTTGACAGCTTACTACACGAAGTTGTTTTTTCATGTGCGCGCATGTTGATTACTTCAAGAAAGCAGTTTTGACTTGTTCATTTGTCAAGCAATACAAAACAAATGCTAACCACTGTTCATTACTTACTGAGTGCCAATGATCAAAACTTTATCTTCATCCTACAAAGTACAGAACAAATGATGCTTCTAGTGCTGGCTATACATTTACAAATGTACATGCAAAATCTGTTATGATAATTTGTTGAGTAACCAACCAATATACTTGACGTTTAACCAACAGGCAATGTAATGATATGCTCGAGCCCAACGCATGCAAGTCCCCCCGGGGCGTGCATGTGCGGTGTTCCCCGCCCGCAGATGCCGGCTTGTCTGGTGGGTCGTCCCTATCTGCATTGGCGAGTGGTCAGTTGTTCAAGGTGTGTGCTAACTTCCTGAGCTTGTGGTCTGGATAATCGTGGATGACTTGGTTGACTTCAACATGGTAAGGATCCTTTTGAACTTTGACAATCAGTTTGCCTTTCTGCAAAGAGATGTCTTTTTGGCTGTTTCTTTACCGAGTGTTGCTGTGGAAATTATGTACCATCTATCAATCTGGAGATTGCAAATCTAGAGATCAATCGAGCATCTACTCTTGATGTCCTGCTTGCATTTCAATAGTTCCATGGCATCATGTTGATCCAAATGATCTGCTAACAAATGGGTACTGTTGCTGGTATATCTGATGTTCTTCAATGCGGTTTGATTTTCGGACAGGTGTTTCAGCCGCTATTTATGTGAATAACTTCCATGGTATAACTCTGAAATCTCATTGCCTTTTATTGTGTCATCATGTACAATCAGTTCTCTCATAGAGTGTGTTCAAATCTAAGACATGCACGGATAAAAATAAGGAAATATCAAAGGAAATCCGTTAAAATGAACTGAATCAAATGTCAAATCTGCTCTAAATTCAGCATCTGATGTATCACTTAAAAAAATGAGTTTGCAAATAATATATGTGTTTTTGGCAGCATACGAATCTTAACTTGATAAACATAAGCAAGTGATTTACAAAATTCCCAAATTCAAAAAAAGGCAGCTTCCCTGCCTGAAATATTCAAAATGTGAAATGTTTGTGTCTTAAAAAAAAAAAAAAAAAAAACTGAAGAAGAAAAAAATCCTCACTTCAAAGCAACTTTTAAAGAGACTTTAAAAATTCAAACGCTCTTATAAAAACCCAAAGGAAACAAATCTCATTATAAAATTCAAAAAGCAATGAATGGGCTATTGCCATCATATTTATCCTCAAAACTGCACTACAAAACAAAACAATGGAGTGAAAATTTTAAGAAATGTTGAGAAAAAGGAGAGAAGGCCAAACTCTTCAAATTGTAGGGGAGAAGTCCTGGTGTGCAGAGGGGGAGAACCATGCTGCTTCCTGGCCAGATGGAAGATGTGGTGGACAACAAGGCCCCCTGCATCCTAACATATAGAAGCTGTGGTGTCAGACACAGGGAGCCAGTCCTGCCAGATGGATCCATGGTAAGTTTAATTGAAGTTTTCTAGAATGAATTCATGCACTGTGTACATCCTCATTGCTTGCTAAACCCAACGGTAAAATGTGTATCTCATGGCTAGGAGTAAACGCTATCTGTCTGCATTACAGGAAAACAGTATTGTGCATTATAGTCTTCAGTCTGTGGCAATACCAATTAGCCTCAATCTGGCACTTGTGAAAATAAAGTAAGAGAAACAAAAAGTCTGCTATTTGTCATCTGCAATCAAAATTGGATCAAGGCATTGACGTCACAAATCTAGGCACTGGTCAGTCCTCATACAATTGTGATATTGCTGAAGAGATGTCAATATTTTTCTTATGAGTGTCCATTAAGTTCTACAATTGTACAGAGATGCAGCCATTTCATTGGTGCGCAAACATCTCACTCAATCTCGGCAAACTTTTTGGACTCGACACTCACTGCAAGCACTCAACGTGCTGCTACTCAACTCATGGTCAAATGTTCTGACCTCTGCACTCCAATCCTATGATTGGATAAAACCTTGGGCTTGAGCAATCACTGCAGCCTCCCATAGATTCATCACCTACCTGATAGGTGGTTGCATGGGGGAATCCCCTACCAGGTCTGTTTAAAAGGACCTTTTGTGATCACAACTGTGTGATCTGATCTGCTCACTTGTCTGCAGTGAAAACCATATCAAAGTGTGCTCTTGAGCAATTTGAAATTAAGATGCACTTTTAAAAAAGCCTTGGAAATCTACGCTTGCAACAAAAGCAATTCCATCTTCATGATTGACACAGATTCAACTGAAAAAAACTACTAAAGCAAAGCTCATGAAAAGCTAAAATAAATGTCATGCCTTGTATCGACATGTTTTTCTGTATGCAAAGCATTTGTTAAAAGAAGAAGACATTTAACTTTGAATGTCTTCAGGGTCCTGGAAGATCTTCACCTTAAGTCTGGCCTGTCACATCTTTGAGATTTTCAATTGAATTTATTCTTATTGACCAGCTTGTACTATAGTGCACTACCTTGGAGAAGAAAATTTGTCATTGTACACTACCTTTCGGAAGAAAGTTATCATAAATGCACTTAAGATTGTACCTGTAAATGTACATTGTTCGTACAATGTCTCGTCAAAGAGCAGCAATTGAATCTTAGTATGATTGTAAAACTTCCTGCAAAGAAGTCAAATCACTGAGTAGATTTTGCAAAAAACTCAATCTGGTCTGAGTTGGACCACCTGCCAAGAAACAAATCCTGAACTGTTTTGTGCATCTTTGAGAGGTTGCTGAAACCAATCTGACATTGAAATTAATTTATCTTGTCACACCAGCAGAGGACTTCAATTTATTTCTCACTATCTGGTTTGACTCATGACTTTGTCAAAATAAAAAGTGCAAAATGATATCGCACTTTGCATCAAACTGACACACTTGAATCTAATTTTAACTCGACCAAAACTGAAATTCTAGTAATACGGCTTTTGGGGCCTAACGGTAGGGTGCCATTTGTTAAATAAGGTGAAGATCTTTCAGGACACATGTTGGTATTGCCACAGACTGAAGACTAGCTATGCTCCATGCTTTAACCCTTTAGTGACCACACTTCTCTCAGTGTACTATGTTTGCCAAGTGCATTTTCCAGACTGAAGACAGTGGTTTTGTGAATTGGGACTTATTTGAATGCTAAACCAACTGAAAAAAAAAAACCTGTTGAAAATGCAGTTCTTATTCCAGGCAAATTTTGCGAGCTGGGATTTTTTTTTCACATACCAAAATAGCTAACCAGCGAAATAAACAAACAAAAAACGTTGGTCCTCCTTTGCCACTATGGGCAATTCAGTTCTCGCTGCCTCTGGCGGCTAAGGTCACTAAAGGGTTAAAAAGAAAAGTCAAAGGTTTATGAGTCATTATTCGGGTCAAGTTTAGATTCCGTTGAGTACTAAGAGGGCTGCACGAGCATACAAATGTAGGGCAGTTTTCTAAGCAAATATGCAATCTCTTCAAGTCTCTTTAATATTGATCAAAGTACTCTTAGTATTTTCATTTGGTATGAAAAAGCTAAAAGACAATATAAAAAATTCTGTTAAAGGTAAACTTCATCGAAGCTCTTTAATTCAAAATTGTAGTGAATTAATACGTCACAGAGTTTGAATGCATTTAAAAGAATTGAGCCTAGAGTGTAGCATCTGAAAAACATTTTTTACTGTCACATATAATAATTCATTGCATTTCCTGTCAATACTGTAAAGACCATCTCTGAGAAAATTATTTTAATGAAGTGAATTAAACGTGACGGGATAATTAAACAAAATTGTACATAGGGTCAAAATCTGGCAAATAAAATAGATAACCAAATGATAAATGTAGGTGCCTAATTACAAAACAAATTAAAATGTTGAACCCTTCACATAATGTTTAGTAGATGCCTTTGACATGACTGAATTAAGGAGTAAATAAACTCTTAAACAATCAAGTCAGGACAGCTCAGTATAATAAAATGAAATTGGAAAACTTGTACATTTTCTTAGCCAACTAAATAACATTACGGTTCAAGTCAGTGGAATAATTTAAAGGAAAATAGTCAGCCCACTAGGAAAAAACAAAGTGATTCAAAATAAATGAACTGGATAGCCAACTTGGACAGGCACATTAATTTTTTCCCGAATATTTTTTTGCAAGGAGGCATTATTACAATGTTCCTAACTTCATGCCTAAATTTGCTGAGGTAACAGGAGATCTGAAATAACTAGGACTTGGCGATTTTGTTGACATCCCTTGCTTTGGAACTCAGTTGTAGGTACACCAGGCTCTGTGCAACTGCAAGAGGGAAACATTTATAACATTGTCCCAAGAAAGACATGTTTAGCCTGTAAAATTAGTACTTTTTAAAGCGTTTCAAAAGTGAAAGGTCGGTCTTGTCTTATAGGTTGTAAGGGGCGGGTCCCAGGATAAATCTTAACACGAATGGCAGTTTCGCTGATGACAAAATGCATACTTTGAAAGAGCCTTATTTTGAAATTCTGCTCTTTTGTTGACTAACTTAACTTGCAACTCACTTGGCAAAAAACAACCGTGTCAATCCTTCTGATACGCAGTCATCTTGATTCTAAAGCTTGGCAGTAGGTGTTCCATGTTCAAATCCTGCAGGAATGCTCAATTTTGTTTGCGAAACAAAATGGTTGGTCTAGTTCAATTGCTAAACAAAGTGCAGATAAAGTGAGTGTAATTTTCAATCCAATCCGTTTTGGTCAGTCGAGAAACCAAGAAAATATTTGGCCCAGTTTTGCATGCTGCATGAATAAACATCACTGAAATTCCTTCTGAGTCATGTAGCAAGTGTCTCAGAAACTGCCATTAATTTGTCCTGGGGCCTGCCTAGGTTTGCATGTGAGCATAAATGTGCAATATCTGTTGTAATGTGGACTTATAGCAGTACAGGGCGAGTCAAAAAGAATGTGACCAAATTGGAAAAAAAAATGCTTTTAAAATACGTCACTCGCTCCATTTTCGAAAAACAAAAATGGTATTGACTAGTAACTGAAAGTTTCACGCAATTTGCGAACTCTACTCCCAAGTTACGTCTATTTTTAACAAAAAGATCATAAAAATCAGCTGTCCACCACTGATCATTTACTATTCTACGAACTGATGAATATGCATTTAATACAATGAAACATGGACGTTTTCCCACTTCCATGAATAACAAAAATTTGCCCCAAAAAAGGGCAAAACTCACTCAGCACTATTTTGGAAAATAAAAGAATTAAATTGTTTCTCAGATTCAAAACACAAAATCTGACAGAAAAACATAATGTTTCAGTCTTGACTAAAATGATCGAAATCTCATTTGTATTTGAATGCCTGTGCGTAATCTGTAATTCTCACTCGGTTCAAAAGCTTCCAATGGCATTAATGGACAGCTATCAAAATAGGTTCTTCTGATAGCCTGGATCAAGTTCAGTAATTCAGACGTATTTCATTGATGTATCAACTTTGATTACTTTTTAAGAAAATACATTTGTTAATTTAGGTCACTTTCTTTTTGACTCGCCCTGTATGTTTACTCTGAATGCCATGATACACATGTGGGTTTAGCAAGCAAAACAGATGAGGATGTATGTTGTCATTGTACAGTGCATGAATTAATGAAAACTTCAATTAAACTTGACCATGGATGGCCATGGCGGGACAAGGCTGTCCCTGTGTCATGATGATGCCACAGCTTCTGAGGATGCTGAGGGGCAGATTGCCACCACATCAACAGTGGCGTAGCTAGAATGAAGGAGGGGCCACAAGAAAACGGGAGGGGACCAATTGAAGCCCTTGATACGTCCATGTGGGCCCTACATCAAATTTAAATTGATGGTTTAAATTGACCATTTGCCACACAAGTTGGCGGCTACTTTTGATACATGTACATATATGGGCCCATCTGGGTTGGCCAAAATATGGGCCGAGCATGGGATTTTGATAGATCCCATTTTGTCCAATTGGACAGACAGCCCCCTCCACATGTTAGAAGGCCCCTCCCATCCCCATGAGCTACGCCACTGCACATTAACCAGGAAATAGCATGGTTCTTCAGAAGGGCACATCAGGTTGAAAATGGGGAGTAAAACAAAAACAGAAATACTCCTCGAAGAAAGAAAAACCCCAAAATGTTCTTTGACAAAAGTCTAATGTGTGACATTATAGGCTAGCAATCATTCAGTGCACAAAATGTGTGTAGATTTGGTTTGCCTAATGTCAGTTAAAAATAAAACATTCGTGAAGAGTTTGGCCAGATGTCCGTAGAAAAGAACCGAGATCACTCAGTATTGAAACACTGTGTGAAATCAAGAGAATCCAAAAGAAAAACTGCGAATGTGTTTCAGTGCAACCAATTTCTCTCTCGTAAAACTCCCAATCAAAATGTGTGGGTTGTTTTAGATTGTAACATGTACATCATGTACATTGAGTGCACTAATTGAATAATGTACATGTACATTGAGTGCACAATTCAACAGCTGTCTTGAAGATATTTATGATGGCACAAAGAAAATATTGCGATCACTTTCCTCCACTGAACGAACCGTTTGGGTGTATTTGCCCATATAAATCAGGACTGTTTGAGAAATGTCACATGTTGACTCTTTACTGTACAAAATGTACGTAAGTAAACTTTGTCCAAAAAAAGGAGACAAAAATAAGCGCAATATTTACTAAAAGAATAACGAAAATTCTATCTTTCCGAGTACAAGGTAGATAAAGAAAACAGTTGCTTTGAAATTGGACTTGTCCAACCAAAATGTTGGTTGAAGTTTTGGCAGAAAATCTCACTTCATAAAACCTGTAAATCCTACCAAGAAAACTTTGGTAAATTCGAATGTGCAAATTGAAATATTGCATTAAATTTAAGTCCAAATAATTGCCTAAATTTACTTGGCACAAGTATATCTTGTCTGCAAAATCTGACGTTCTTAAAACTAGTAACGGTGCTGCCAGAAAACATAAACAAATTGACACTTTAATGTGGTCGTATATATCTGATGGAAAATGCAATGTACATGTACAGCATGTACATAGCATGTACATGTACATGTACATAGCATGTACATGTACAGCATGTACATGTACTACCCAAGTACAAAGAAGCTCTCCAAAATTGGCAAGGCTTTTGAGCTTGAAGATCAAATTTGACGATAATACTGTTACCTTCTCTTAAAAGGTTACGTCTGCCTCCTGTAAAACATTTGCTGAATTGGTTTTTTGGTCCTTGCCAATTCAAGTTAAACGTGCATGTCCGTCAAAACCAAAACTGTACTTACAATTACTTGTGAAAATCTTACGAATGATACGTATTTTGAAATGACACACTCATGAGATGAACTGATCAATGTACATGTTGATGTGATTAAATGGCAGGGAGATTTCAGAGTTATATCGCGGAAGTTATTTACGTAAATGGTAGCTGAGATAAATGTCCTAAAATCTTATTGCATTGGAAATATCGGAGAAAGCTGGCAAATTGTAGCCTGTTTGTATTGCATTTCATTTAAATGGATCAGAAACATGATGCAACAGCGAACGACGGAAATGTTGAGTGAGGCAATCATGGGTAGATGTGAGAGAGATCTCTACTTGGGCAATTTTCGGAGTGATAGTTGGTATATAATTTCCATGGCAATACTTAGTAATTAAAACGGTTAATAAGGCATCGACTTTGTCAGAAAAGTAAACGGATTGTTGAAGTTCATAAGGATCCTTATCATGTTGGAGTTAACTTAGTCATTTGCGATTATTTGGACTTGCAAGTTTGGGGAGTTAGTGCGCACTAAGATCAACTGATCATGAGTTGATGTAGATAGCGGGCGACTCGCTGGGCTTGTCGGTGTCTGTGGGCGGGGAACACCGCGCGTGCACGCCTCGGGGGGACTTGCATGTGTTGGGCTTTTTTTTTGGCCAGTCTTTTCAATAAATAATGAAACAAAGTGCTGTCTCCTCTCTTGTATTTTATTATATCAAATAGCGCCCTCTATACTTAAAAATTAAAAGGGCGCCCTCTATAGTTTGAACTTCCAACTTGAATTTTTTTAAAGTAAAGCAGGACACACAAGAGGGCGCCCTCTTGTGTCCTGCTTAACTATTAAAAAAAAATTAAATTAGAAGTTCAAACTATAGGGGACGCCCTCTATTATTAAATAAATTGACTTAAAAATAATCAAGTTGGCACAAGAGGGCTCACTTCATTTATGTTTTACTTTGGAATAAGACATGCATTGACCATAATGTTTTAATCAGCAATACTGAAAATATTAGAATTGCAAGCGGCGCGACAATAATTCAGGCAGATCTTTTTGCGCGCTAATTAGAGGTGCAAAAACAACCTTTTTTTCCCAACTGGTTGCAGATGCCCTAGAAAATAATGTCATCAAAATAAAACAAAGTTTGTTGCGAGAAAAAGAGATTTGCTTCAAGAGTACAGGGAGCAACTTTAACTAATGGGTCTTTTAAAAAAGGACAGAATTGCATGCATCACGATCGAAAAGCTCAACATCTTAAAAAAAAGACGATTTTTTGTTGTTCTCTGACGAAGTCAGAGGGTAACTTTTTCAAATGAAACACATAATTTGGGGTGTTTAACTCATCACATTTCAATTGTGCGCCCTCTTGCACCAACATGATTCAAATTAAGTCAACACATCTGCTGTCTACTTTTTAACCGAATTTGAAGCAAATTTTCACAAAGTATTTTGACGCTGTTGCGCAGTTTTTTTATTAAACGCAAGTACTAGTGGGTAGACTTGTTCAAAGCAATTTAAGAAAAAGGGGGGCACTCTTTTTTTACAAGTGCCCCTTTTTTTGAGCAAGTGCTTTAAAAAAAGAGAAATAGTTGCGCCATTTTTGTTGCAGCAGCCATTACGAGTGTTTTTTTAATTTTTCGCGCATGTGTCACCCTTTAAAGCGCATATGTCGTCCGTTAGTGTGTACAATTTTCTGTTTTGAACAGCGCCTCCATCTGCAGATGATACCAGCCTATATTTCAGCATGGATGTGTGAGTGCTCTTTAAAAGAATAACCTTACTACGCCCCTGAAGTTAGTTTTGATGCGCAATGACAAAGATGCACGCAAGGCGCAATAGACAGCAGATATGTCAAGAACAAAAGACACTCACACCAAAGTCACAAATGGATCTACAATGGCACATCATAATACAGACCCTTTTCATAAATAAAAACTTTGTCAAATCTATTCAATTTGTGATGGAACAAAAGCGTTAGATGTACATGTACATTCAAATGTTCAGTAAAGTCAGCTAAAGTTTGGCACTCTTTTTCCTCACAAGAAAACAATTTGTGTAATACTTCTTCCTCTAAATTAACAGTGAATACAATCACTTTTTGAACCACACAATTTAAGGTTCTGTAGTTTATTTAATTTTAGTAGCGGACATCGATCAAGTCACATACGACTTTTTAATAAGACCAGTATTTCAACTAAGCTAGGTTGCCACCGTATGAGTGTGCTTTATATCGCAAGTTTCAAAAATCTGGATTCTCAGTGTAAAAACAACTTTTCCAATTTGATTAATTAATTTTTACTTTATTATAAATGGAATACCTCAAAGTTGGTGTTTATGTGCTTTTTCGATGTGGCACCTTGCAAAATAGATTTTCAGATTGAATTGATAATGTTCTAGCATTATTAGTTATGAGCTTTCCAATGAGACATCGCACACAAAAAATAGGCCCATGACAAGCAATCAATTAGTTAATTTCGAGTTAAGCTCCTTTGTGTTCTGAATAGTGTGCGCAATTTCTGAACTAGAGCGCGCCATTTAAAACCACTTTTTAAAACTGAATCAAGGCCTGCAAAAATAAAAAACAAATTTATTTGTTGCAGGGCATTATTTTCAGAAAAAGAAAATTGAAATTTTGGGGAAAAAAAACACACATACACCAACTTTAATTATTTTGCTGTAATATTACCAGTAACAGACATCAAAGACATTCACACACCTACTAAATAATGATGTGCCATTCTACATGTAGATCCATACAATTAAAAGCATGGTAAATATTAAGATTACAAATTTAAAATCTTTTTTTTATTGTACAATTTATCATAAGTTGAACGTTGTGAACCAAGCACATGTCAAACAAATTCTGAATTTCTTTTAAGGAATAACCAACCAATCAAAAAAAGCAGTCCTTTTTGCAAAACATTCTACAATTTTATCACCTTGGAGACGTTCTTGTCAAGTAATGTTTGTGAAGGTCGTTAAAAAGTAAAGGAAATACTATTATAGGTTCAAGTTTTGTTCCATAAGGACCTGAAGTGCAAACACTTTTAATACAAAATGAAGAGTCAGGGAATTATCGGTGTAAATATTTGGATATAGAGTGTATTCGTGTTAAGACTAACAAGTCTGAAAAGTTAGGTCTGTAATCAGGCCTCTTGCCAAAATTTTAACAATTGTTTCCTTTTTGTACAATTTTTGCAATGTGTAGTCATCGTCTTAGGTTTACAACACAAATTCAGAATTTTTGACATTTGCCTGGAACAACTGTTATATATAATTTATTTTCCATTTCAATTTTCATGTACATTTCTTTAAAGTTTAAAGCTGCATTCCCTGTGCTATTTTCAAGTTTCATCCTGAAAAATAGATTTGTATTCTAAAATTGCAATTTTTTTTCTTGCAAAACAAAAGTTATTCACTTTGTATAAGACATGCGAAGTTTGAATTACTTGCGTCTCGACAATAATTTGTTCTTGCAGGGTATGGGCTGGTTCCCACTTCACAATCGATAATAATAATGCCAGGAGTTAGTCTGATCAAAAAAGTGGATCTGTTTGTGCCAAGTTGAGTTTTGGGGTTGGATACACAACATAAAAGTAGAACATTTGTGAGAAAAAAAAATTAGTTAGTTGAAGAGCATGGGGAATGCAACTAATGTCAACTTTTACTTTTGTTGACTTTTGTTGAAATCCATGGCAATGAAAGTGTCACCTCACAAAACTCAAAATAGCAAAGTTGGAAAATAATATTTTATTCACTTTTAACATTTTCTCCAAACTTATAAAAAAGTCTTTTATTTTGGACTTTGATGATGCATGCACATCTAGCATGATGGATAGGGAGCTGTCATTGCCATGGATTTGCTTTTGTCTATCACAGGCCACTCCAGTCCACCCAAGTCCCTTCAGCAGTCTTCAAGATGAGCCTGAAGAAATGTCTATCAGTAACCAGCGTCTCTAGTCATGTGATCAGTCACCTGACAGGGAAAAAAAAAAACAGTCATCAAAGTGTACTAAAAATGAATTCATTGTGCATCAGAAATATAAATACGTTGAATGGCTGGTTTTAACATTTGTTTAATTTCATGATATCTTTGCAGTTGCCCCTGGTGAACTATCACAGAAGTTTTGCCACAAACAAAACCAGACATCTGTTTTGTTTTGTAATGTAAATACCTTCTCATAAGAGCCTGACATTTTGGCCATTGAAGATGCATGCACATCTTGCATGATGGATAGGGAGCTGTCATTGCCATGGATTTGCTTTTGTCTATCACAGGCCACTCCAGTCCAGCCAAGTCCCTTCAGCAGTCTTCAAGATGAGCCTGATGAATCGTCCACCAGTAACCAGCATCTCTAGTCATGTGATCAGTCACCTGACAGGGGAAAAAACAAATAGTCATCAAAGTGTACTCAAAATGAATTCATTGTACATCACAAAAAAACAATATGTTGAACGGCTGGTTTTACCATCTGTTTCATATCATGATATTTTTGTTTGTTTCTTGGGTTTATTTTGGGGTTTTTTTTTTACAGAAATGTCAAAGATAACAAGGTTTTTGACATTTGTTCTTAGATTTGAGAGTGTAATTTATTCTGAAAATCACAATTCCTGATTTTTTATATACTACATTACAAAACTATAGATTTCTTGCAGCAAATGTTGAGTAATAGATGTTGTAAATTAATAAGTTGGGAATTCAATTCTGAATGGCTGATGAGACAAATGTTTTCCAGCCAGAAGTAACAAAGCAGAAAAAAATGGTAAAACCAGCCATTTTAAAGATGTATTTCCAGTTTAATCCAACTAACAGTACACACATAGCTCACTCTGGTTCACTTGTAAGAATTCCTTTATGCACATTTGGGCAAATGAATTCCACTTTAAGGTGGAAAAGTGGAAACTTTCTAAATTACATGCACCATGCACAACAACAACAGTAGTGTGAAATTAAAGGGGACAAGATCTTTAATTTGAGCGGGGTGCCAATGAGATGCAATGTAGTTAAGTGTGATTTTTGGTACAAACCTCCCTGTTTTTTGTGCAAAAATAATGGATTTTTGGCAAAATGTGAGCTTAAGTCGGGTTTTGTCTTTAAGGCAGAAGGAAAGGTCCATATTTTGTGAGAAAAGAGTTACTTATGTTGGAGTTTGTTAAATTCAGATTTATGCCAAGTTAGAAACCATGAAGAAGAAGCGATGTAATGTGAGTGACGTAATGTGAGTGACGGTTCCTTCCTGTAATCTAATGTCCCTTGCATGTAAAATTCACACCGATTGTATTAAATATGGGCTTTTAATCTACTGGTTGGTTGAATGAAAGGCAAAACAATGTTACTTCTGTGTTTCAGACTACAGTTTGAGGAGCCTTCAACAACAAAACTGCAGCAACCTTTTCAAGATCTTTTTTTTTTGGTAACATGAGTGACGACCAACAAAACACTTGCTTTCAAAAAGTGAATGAATGGGTTGAATGTTTCTGTCCATTTAAAGTACCAGTACCATCAACCCCAAGATTGTTGAATGGCTGGTTTGATTCAGCTTGATCAAATACTTTCAAACCAGGGAGAGGTCAAAGTAGCCTCATGACAAAAATGTTATGTCAGTGATGGTGGAATTGTCCTTTTAGGCCTACTACTTTGCAGAACTTTTACAGTTGTCTTTTTGTTTGAAGAAGAAAAGAAAATTGACACACATCCCTGGCAAGTAAGACATGCATTTAATAGGCTGCCCTTCAAGTAACTCTGATAATATGCCAACCACTCAGCAGAACAGTGTATGATTAAAATTACAGAAACCAGTGTGTGGAACTTTAATATCAAGTCAGATTTTAAAAATATGTAAACCATTCAATATTTCCTTGTATCCAAGGCATGATATTCTGCCCAGGTTGTTGTGTATGTGCTAGGCAGGGATCTCATCAGGAATGTAGCTTTGGGAAGGAGGACGGGGGTACGGTGGGAATTGGGGGTAGAAACAAGATTGAGAGTATTTTAGTGTATAGATAATTAAAACTGGACACACTAAGATTTAGATATATGCGTTGAAGTAGTTTTATTTTTATTCAGCAAGGAACCGAGAATTCACAGTATCGGGCAAGAATTAAGTACAACTGGAAAGAGTAAATTTGAGATGTTGCTTGCATGAGGACTGAAAATAGAGTGGTTAAAATATGAACAAAGAATAACAACTGTCTAGACATGTCACCAAGGGAAAAGGCCCCCCTGGACTTGGTAACCTCATCATTAAGGTTGAGCAAAAACCATTAACTGAAATTGGAAGGACAAAAGGGCTGGTCTGGTATAATTAAATCAACTCAAGTATATATAGGTTGGACCTTGGTGCAAAGGAAAGTGATGAATGAATAGTTTGCTGAATCTCAGAGGCTTAACATCTGGAATCATGATTATGGACTGTTATTGAGACATGGGGAAAATAACTGAAAAATGGGGGAAAAATAACTAAATATTTACAAAAGTGTATTACACAAGAAAATCAGTGCAAACAGTTTTATTTGCTGAAGTGTTCGTAAGTCCACTTTAGAGAACGCTACAGTATCAAGTGTGACAATAAGATCCATTTTTGCGGGAAAAGCTAAAGGAGACAAAGCTTGAGAATTCTAACGGTATAGGGAAGAAAGCTCACTAAAAACAATCCAGGATTGAAGAGGCTGTAGGGTCAATTAGGAAGCAAGACTCCAAGTACTTTACTCTAAACCATACCACTGTCCTGACCAAGACATGTTACTGACCATCCTTAAAACAACCAAACCGATGAAATCATCATTAGTCTTTGCATATCAATTAACATATGAATGACGAGAAACACACACATGTGTACAGACTGTTTGATCGGCCCTCAATGTACATGAAGGCAAATTTAGGGGACTTCATCGTCAACTGAGTGTGCATCTTCTTGTTTTGGTTATGAAGCCTAGTGGATTGATCAGTTGCAGTAAAGACTGACTGCTGTAACTCATACAGTACAATTCTTGTAATTCACTTGAAATACTGCACATGTAATGAACAAGGTTCAGGACTGCACCAAAATGTTACTTCAGTTAAATTTGCTTGAAAGTTAAAGGGAAAATACAACATTTGCAAACATCAAAAAAACGAAATGGTCAAATTATCACGAAATACCTTACTAAATTGTTAGGGAATGACAGTCTAAAACATCCTTTAAAATCATGGCTCCTGGTGGGCTGACATTTTCAAGAAAAACTGTATTTTTTCCAACGCTGGTCGGCCGACCAGCGTTGGAGAAAACTGGCTTTTTTCAAAAACTGTTCTTAATTTTTCATATTTAGTTATTCTGACTTTCCTTTGCAATTGATCACACACCTGTGAAGGGGTACAAGCCTGCTAGACTGATTCTCTGACCTTACAATTCCCCAAAGTGTATTATTAATTGCTTCGTTTCATCTTAAGTGGGGTCAGGGAACCAGACTACAAGAACATGATAGGTTTTCTTGGTTTTTCCAGCATCTTCAAGCCCAAAACATGAAACAAGTCAGTTTAACAATATTTTATGTAACATACTTATCCTCCAATCCATTTATTTTTGAAACTGGCAGCAAAAGCCAACGTTTCACATTCCCTTTCAACACAGTTCTGTTCAAATTTTTTTCACAAGGTCGAGTTGCCCCTGGTGATCGAAATATCACAGAATGAACAATTTTGCCTCTAAAAATCCAGACATCTTTTTCTTTTAATAATGTAAAAACTCTCTCCAAAATTAGCTTAAACCCTGACATCTTCAATGCTTAACAACTCTAGTAGTACTAGAAACATTTAATCCAGTATCTTTGTTAACTGTATCCCACAATGAAAACCTTGAAAACCTCTACCAATTATCTATGCATTTAAATAAAATTTTAATTTTTAAGCAACATTTTGTTCACTTAAAAATTAAATTTATTGTATTAAAATTGAAGCAGCGTTAGTTACAGAAACTTGTTTAATCTTTCTGCATAATCTCTACAGACTTACTGAACTTTTTTTCAAATTTTAATATAAAATTTTCAAACAGTGGGAACAAACCTCCTAAAAATATGTTGATACTTATGTGTAAGTACGTATTAGACCTTCTTGTATAAAAAAAGTTATGTAGGCAAAGAGAAGTTAACCCTAACCACCCTAACTCCATCAAAATCCATCCCCCATTTTGGTGGATTTTTGGGGACTTGGTCCAGAATAAGGCCTGGAATGATTAAATATCAATGGAGTATGATGGACTTGGGCCTAATGGCCTGAAGCAGTGCTAGGGGTATCCGATTGATTTTGCCTAGCTTCCTGTACTGCTATTGTGTTAAAAGCCATGTGTAGCAAGTCCATGAATATCAACCAGTGCATGATCAGTGGTGGATTCCATTCTGTCATGTACAATTTTGTATTGGACGCACAGTGATTGATGGATTTTGATGGACTTGGTCCAGTTTCTAGAACCGGTAAAAGACGCTAGGGAGTTAGGGTTAAGGCAGAGTTAGTTACAGAAACTTGTTTAATCTTTCTGCATAATCTCTACAGACTTACTGAACTTTTTTTCAAATTTTAATTGCAAATTTTCAAACAATGGGAACCTTTACCTCCTAAAAATATGTTGATACATATTCGCAAGTATATTAAACCTTCTTGTATTAAATAAACTTATGTAGGCAAAGAGTCAAAATGCAGGAAATGGTACATGTTTGCCTACTTGATCTCAAACTGTTTACATGTACATCTTCCAAACTTCTTCTAAGCATTTCAAGTACAATACTGAAACACATACATGTACCATGCCTGGGCTCCCACACAGCAGCATGGGGTTACGCCATCTCCGTTACCTAGGCAATAGTTACCTAGGTAACACCCTGAAGTGGGGCTATTCCGAGGATCAGGCGCCTCCTACCATGACAACTAGAACCAAGAAGCATCTTCCTCTAGCATGAATCATGAGGAATACAACAAGTATCATGCAACACAAAAAGATCAAATGACACTCGGTAACAGCCTCAGCAATTTGAATGTATATGTGTCATTTCAGCAGAAAAGGAGGAACTGTGAATTCTGGATTTCTGCCTTTGGATTTCAACCTCCTCCATTCAAGACATCAGTGTTTGATATTCAACGTTCACTTTAATGTCGGAATTCATTTATAACTTTCAGCTGCCAAATATTATCTACTTGTAGATGACTCAAATCAGCCTGCCACTTTCTTAGACTTCAACAAATTTTGATCCAACATGATGTCAACCTACATTCGTCGTTGATGTTTCAATACAATGTATAGATAATATTCTCCATACATGTTTGTGATTTATAATCAACTTCTCCATTAATTTGTCAGACCAGTTGCCTCGAGCAATTATGACACTGCAAATGACAGACTTTCT